CCCTATCATAGAACAATGTCTCACGATCTCTCTTTCACTCTTAAAGAATCACACATAAGAAACATTTTTGAAGAATCCTTATACATTATTCGAGAAGTGATTTGTGAGAGTTTGCTCATGTGTCATCTCCACAGTCACTCTCCTAAAAACAAATATGACATGACTAAACAAAAAGATGACATGGCAAGTTTGTAGAAAAATTTTCTATTTTAAATTTAAATTAATCATAACAAAATCATTTACAAAACATTTTCTTAAGTAAATTTACATATATTTCTTTAAGTAAATTTACTATATTTTATTATAATTTTCTTTTTTTAAAATTAAATTTTGGGTATGATGTTTTTTGTCACAATAAAGTTTGAGGATAAATGTTTTTATAATAAAGATTTCCCAAGTCTTTTTTATTAAAAATATTTGATTATGTTTTGTGACAAAATATTTCCAAATTTATAAAACCCATGTGTATATACAATATTCCCAAATTTACAAAACCCGTACATATATATATATATATATTATATATACATTTCTTCTAAAAAACAAATTTCAACATAAGAATATTTGAAATTGAAAATAATATGAGTTATATATATTTATTAAACGAATAATTTTTTTTTGAAATAATGTTGAATGATTTATATTTTATATAATAAACATTATATTTTATACATAAATTTATACACAAGGGAAAAAATCTGAACATAAACATTTTATAATTTACATACTATCGTATAGATGTATTTTATTACATAATATAATGATTACGTAATAGTTAATCAAAAGACCCATTGAATATTGAATATAACATACAAAAAGTTGATCTAAAGCTTTAGTAGAAAAATAATGATATTTATGTTAAAATTCAAATACAAAACGAAACTAAACATTACATAGTCATCCATAGTGAATTATGTTTTATTTTATATACTATTATTTACAAACATAAATTATTTAGGAAGTGATTTGTGAGAGTTTGTTCAATATTTAAACTATAATTAACGTTTTTTAATTTGTTTTATATTAAAAAAATTGAATAAATTTAATTTGCGTATTACGCGGACAGTCACCTAGTCACTATGTAACTTACAAGTTAGGGATGATGATTAATGACAAAAAAAACAAAAAACCTCACACATTAGGGATGATGATTAATGACAAAAAACCCTCACACGTGTCTTTTAAACCTTCTCTTTGTCTTTACTCTTTCAAAATCGAACCAACGAAATGAATTTAGGGACAATTACAAAAATGACATTTTTTGTGTGCACATTTGCAAAAATGCCACTTAAAGGTGTCTATTTGCAAAAATGCCACTAATTATAGATTCATAAAGCCTATATCTTAAAATTCTAAACCCTAAAAAATGATTTGACCCCTAAAACCCCCTAAATCCTCATAACTAAATCCT